CGGCTCGTAGCCGTCAGTTAGACAAATGTGTCGCTTCGTGCGACAGTGGAGCGCCTGGTGCCGTCGGAAACGAACGTCGTTGCACTCCGTGCTGAGAATCAGTGCTGGATCAGTTTCTGGGTGGTCGAGCGCCTTTGGGCGCCGCCCCGGCGCCAACGCTTCAACGTTTACTTGCGCTGGATCCTGGTACTGCTTAAGCAAGCCCACATGAAACACCGGGTGGGTGCGCATCCGATACGGAAGATTTAGCGTAAACGCAAGGCCTCGCCTGGCGACGACATTATGAGGCTCAATAACGGTGGACGGAGCTTTGTCTTGAAGACAGCAGAGACTGCATGTGTCGGAAGGTATTAGCATTACTGCCACGAAAATTTTTTGATTTCCGACATCCACCCGCCTAGAATGCGGTCGGTTGGTCGTGCACAATTGCGATTATGAGACCGCCCAGCATAACTTCATGATAACGTGCCTGATCCATTCAATTCTCGCTTCATAGCTACTAGGTGTATGCGTAGTATTTTGCCGAACTGATTCCAATGATTCCTAGCATTCAGCTATCAAAAGGAAGCTGTCTTAACAACTTCAATGAATTACAATAATATTTGGCAGAATATTCGATCTCTTGCTGGTAGTGCATTTTATAAATATCACAACATTATTGTAACGGGTTGCACGTACCCTTGTATAAAAGGGAGGGTCACACAAGACGGTGTGATCGTACAAAGATGTGGATTACACATGCCGGTGTAATCACACAATGGTGTGGCTTCACCGTAACAAGAAGCCACATTGTTGCGGGACTGCCAGTAGTTATGCATATTTATTAGGTTTTACTATTTAATCATGAAAACCTAGGGGTTTATATATAGGCGGATCTGGCCACAAATAAAACGAATAAATACAATCTCAATTTTGAGCGGAAAAGTTTATTCGCCTTGGTTAAGGTTCTGGGTACTCTTGGAGGTAGCGGAATGCAATCCACTACACTCGTTCCGATTCTTGTATAGAACGTGACTTTAGTAAGTTTACTTTATGCAAAGAGCTAAAGCAGCTCCGCTGCACTTATAAGCACTTGTAGTCAATATACGCCTGAGTCGTTACGACTAATCCTCTGTGAAGATGAAGCTATTTTCCTATTCGCCCCAGGGCATGTAGGACGGGCTTAATAAGGCAATGTCTTTGCATAGCACTGAGGGCGTGCAACACCTTTTCGCGCGCTTAGAAACGCTTTAGAACTCTAAAGATGCTCTGTTAGAGCCCTTAGAAAAGCAAATGTCGGCATCGACCGCGTTCATGACGCCACCATCGACGACGGATGACTACATGCCGCTCATGGTGAGCGTTAAGACATTCGAGGATAAGGATTGAGATTATCTCATGCTCTGGGTGAGAGAGGCCGAGACGGCTATGTCATTCGCCATGCTCCAGAACAAGCAATAGCGTGTGGCGATAACTATCTCCAAGCTCGGGGACCGAGCGCGAAAATGGGCACTAACTTGCGGTACTTCGGTTGAAGCGGCGTTCCCCTCCCGAAAGAAGCAGAAGCTGCAGCTTTGCGAGTGTTCGCGCCGCCTGACCGAAATAATGCGTGCGATCGCGTTTCCTTGCCGCCCGACAGATCAAAAAGGAATTGAAATACTTTGTCCAAGGGTTCGAACCCACATTGCCGGGATAGCCGATCCTCTCCCCGAGGCGGTTAAGTGACCGTCTTTATGTAGGGCCTCCGCACTGGCGTGGTCAGAATGAAATTTTTCCGTGTGCACCCGTTTTCTTTTGAAGCGGTGAATGTGGCATAGAATGCCGAATTCGTCTCTAAGTCGGCACGACTCAGTTGGAATGCAAACCCGCAGAGCTCGTCGAGCGGGCCTGAGCCAATGAATCTCAGCTATGTTGAGAAAGGGGAGGCAGAGCTCCGAGTTTCCGGACAACGTTTAAATTCCCGACGGAATTTTGTCTGTGGAGACACCCGTCACCTTCAAACTGGTTTATCTCTGCGCAAGGCGCGTCAAGGTTCATCGAACCGGAGTCCCGCTTCTAACCAGTCTAAATTGTCGCAAGGAAACGAGAAAACCCAGTAGGCACCCCGCGCCTACTGGGAATGAACTGAGTTCTTGAGTGTCAAAGAGGTAGAGGGCAGCAGGGTCCAGCCCCAAAGAGCTCTCGGGGGCGTCGGGCAATTATGCTCGACGGTCCACGATCGAATGAAGTAAGTTGTATGCTGAGGCGCTTAGAGCGCGGTCGAGTGACCCCGTCACTGTTTGCGTTTGAACAGGGTCTTGTATCACTGTGCCGAGGGTCCATTTGGACCTCGATGTCAGGTTTCTTGACTTAGATAGCATGGAAATTTGGATTCAAGGTATGGCATGGTTGGAACACCATGAGCCATGGATCGTTTGGAGGCTGAAGACCTGGGGCGCTATGCGCACGTCTCCTGGTGGAGCTTTGTCATGATGTCACCTCTGCAAGGAAGCAGAAGCGTTTTTGCGCGGGCACTGGACCGGGACATTCAATGCGCTGGATATTGGAATATCAGAGTTGTCAAACACAGAAGGTGTATCGGACAAGAGTCCAGGGCATGTTTGCGTGCTGAACTTGGAGCTGCCCGTAAACCACTGAGCTGCGTTTCAAAGCAGTTGCTGCATGCCAAGAGTAACATGGTCGGTCAAGGGCCGAATCATCAAGGGCGAGGCCCCAGTGACGCATATGACGTGGCACGTATCCCACTGTGCACTGCCCAAGTATCAAAACAGCTGCTGCATACCAAGAGTGGCATGGTCGAACGATGTCCGAGTACATCCTGGGCAAGTCCCTTCCGATGCGCGTGGAGTGGCACGTTATTCACTGGACGAAGACTGCAGAAATAGCAGCTCTACGTCGGATGGTGTTAATCACATCAATGTTTCGATGGAGCAGGGAGTAGAGACACTGGTCGGCGCTGAGTGCGTGTTCCCTCTGGTCTCACCGAGATGTGAAACTTCTATAGAGAAGAGACGGCTATACCGTATGTTATCTGCACGGCGCAGAGCGTCGATCCTGACCCAGGGTGTGTCTATCGTAGACGATAGCGCACAGCTATACACCCTCGTCAACGGTATGTCGGGAGAGGAAGACGGCGACGTCACCCTCGAGGTTATTCACGCGATGGATGCTCTTCTGGAGCTGGACGAAATGTCCTTCGAAGATTTTGGCGGTGCCTTGAAGGCTGGCGGTTTAGTCGAGGTGGCCATTATACGATCTCACGAGGAATGCTGAGCGTGCGAAGTGGAACTTCGATCTTAAAAAATCCCTCGGATCCGTACTATCCTTTGGTAAAGGAAGTTTGAGACGTCGTCTCCATAGTCCCGCCGTCGATCCTACCTCCGGACCAAGGTGTGCGTCAGGAGATCGTCCCGGTTCCGGGGAAACAAGTAATGCGTAGCACGCCAAAACCCTCTGCCCAGGAAGCATTGTGACGTCATCGACGCAATCTTCCTTGCGAAGTGTGATGCAGGAATGGTGCGCTAGATCAAGCATCCCCATTCGACATCCCCGTTCTGTGTCCGGAAGCTGAACGGTAAGTGGTGTATCGTTCACGCTTACAGAAAGGTCAACGCTGCCACCATTCCGGCACAGACACCATTTCCTATGAAGGATGTTCTCCAGAACAACATCTTCGATGTACACAAGTCAGTGCACTCGACCTGGTCGATGGGATATTGCCAATTGTTCATGAGTGCGTGTGATATTCCACTGACAGCGGTGAATACTCCGAGCGGGAAGCTCTGAAAGTGGCTGGTGATGCCCAAAGGGCTACCCAAAGCACCAGCAACATGTAATCGTCTTGTGACGTAGATGTTCAGGCCCCACCTGGCGTATGCGCAAACATACTTCAACGACATCTTCGTCCACAGTCATGCGGGGCACGGAAGGACAGATGATGAAACCCACATCGTCCATTTAAATGCGGTGCTCGAGTGCATGTGGACGAATATACTGTATGCTAATGCAGATAAGTGCATCTTCGGCGCTGAAGAACCCCCCCCTTTTAGGTAGCCTTAATGAAAAGCGTGGCCTTCGAGCGGATCCCGCTAAGTTCAAGGCAATTGTGGACTGGTAGGTTCCAAAGGACCGAAAGGACTTGCGCAAGTGGCTTGGCCTCGCCAATTACTTGCAAAACGTCAGCGTGAAATATGTAGAGATGGCACGGCCATCGTCGAATCTCCTTAAGAAGGATGAAGAATGATGTTGGGACACGGAGCATCGGAAGGCTTTTGATAGGGCCAAAGACAGTCTCCTTCATGCACCAATACCAAAAGGGCGATCGGGGTCTGGCAACATTAGACCCCGATCGTCCTTTTAGTGTCGTATGTGAGCTTCAGGCTTTGCAATTGGCTGTGCACTGCTGCAAGCAGACGCCGAGGGACGAGGTCGCTTTCGAACCTCGCCAGCTCAAGGCTGCAGAAAAGAACTTCCCTGTTCACGACAAGAAATTACTTGCGATGAAGTATGCACTTATCAAGTTCAGGACGCACCTGCTTGGCTCGAAGCTGTTTTTGATCTACATAGATCATACGTCACTACGCACTGCGAATCAGTCTCCTCGCAGAGGATGGCCAGGTGGCTCTCCTACTTCACACAATATAACTTTGAGGTGAAGTATAAACCACCAAAGCAGAATGCTTTGGTTGATACGTTGTCACGCAGACCGGATTATAAGCTTGCTCATGTCACGACGGTGACGTCGTTTGTGACGGACTTGATCCGCGCCGCATACGCGGGTGATGGTATGTGTAGCGCTGCTACAGGTTCTCGGGTGCAAGGTGTTTGGAAACTCAGACAAGAACTTTTCGTCACGACTGCGTGCACGGTTGCACCAATATTGATTGAATAATGGAGTGCTGTATCATAGCACTGACTCGACGGATACGCTACGAATTGTCGTTCCTTACGATGTTGATTTGAAACATTGTATTTTGTATAAGGCCCACGACACCCAACTCAGTGGTCATCTCGGTCTTGAGAGGGCGTACAGCTCTGTGAGCTGCCACTACTTGTGGACCAAGATGGACAAATGAACGAGCTCATATGTGCGCACTTGTGAGACATGTCAAATGGTAAAGTCCTCTCCGATGTAGCGTCACCAGCTGTCCAATTTACTGGTCTGATTCGGGTGTTAGCAGTCCATGAGTATGATTTTGTGTTTTGCTTGCCGAAGGAATTGGCGGGCAACACGGGTGTGGTAGTCTTTTTTGACCGCTTGAGCAAGATGGCTCATCTTGCAGCGGTGCCGGACACAATCTACGGTGTTAGTACAGCGACTCTGATTGTGGATCGCGTCTTGTAAAAACATGGACTCACATCACTCACAGAGACCACGCTTCACTAGGGAGTTTTGATCGACAATCTTCAGGGTGCTGGGCACGAAGTTGACGATGTCAACAACGGACCATCCGTAGAACAAAACTGAGCGTGTGAATTGCGTCGCTGAAGACGTTCTTCGCAGCGCTGCACTGAACCGAAGCGCTGAAGCGCCATGCTGCCACATGTAGAGTTCAATCTGAACAATGCAGTGCATGCGTCTTTTGGCTACTCGCTGTTAAACGTGAACGGGCTCGTTCATCCTCGCGTTTTGCTGACACCGCCATCGCATGGCTCAGGGCTTGGTGAAAAAGGAATAATTGAGCGACTTGCTGATGCCAGCCCCCACACTGTGCGTAAATAAGTCGATGAATTCCTGTCTACCATACTGAGTGTCTTACCACATGTTCGCAATGCGATGGCTTGGTGGAAGAGGAATAACCGAGCGACCAGCTGATGTCAGCTCCCACATTGTGCAAAAATAAGTCGATGACTTCCTGTCTACCAGACTTCCTGTCTTACCACATGTTTTCGATGCGATGGCTGAAAGCCAAGACATGCAGAAAAAATATGGAGATGGAAGATGCTTCATCCATCTCCATATTCCTTGTGCAAATGTGAAAAACATTGGTTCGGAGGCCTGGAACAAGCTCTCCCTCGTCGACAAATCTTTGCCACGAAGATGGAGAGAGACGACAATGTGGCACATTAAATGCCCAGGACGTTGGCTTAACAGCAAGGTGCAGTGGGTGCCCCTGTGAGTGATAAAATCACACTTCATGAGAGCTTGAGTGATTCAGACCAGGTTACTATCATACCACTAGATTTGCGTTGCGACACGCTAACCTGGGAGCTGGCGAAGTCGGTGCGCGGCGGTGCCGAAGCCGTGCCTGATCAGGCTTTTGTAGTGAGATTCAACAAATGTAAAGAACGAACAGTAAAAAAACTGGTGCATATCACAGCTGCGGCAAGCAAGGCCATTGGGCTGTAGAGCTCTTCTTGCAAGTCCAAACGACACTGAGTGACATTGGTCCCTGCGTGCAAATATTGCCAATTGTGGTAACTACCTCTTTTCGGTCGACGGCAGTGAAGACTCCGCCGAATCAAGAGAAATCTGTTTGGTCGATTCAGGCGCGACGCAGCACATGTAGAGTACCAAGAAGCTCATGGGAAATTGCACGATCTTCACCCCGGTCAACGTACATGTCGCAGACCAAATGATGTGCAGGCTATTGGCATCCGTAATGTGGTCATGTCGAAGAAGACTTCTCATAGAGCATTCTTGCAAACGTGTTGCACATCTTGGAGCTGTTGAGCAATTTATTTTTCTGTCAATAGGTTAGCCAAAGGAATTGTGCCAGCGATATTTGACAACAAGAGATGTCTTGCGGAGAAAAAGAGAGCTACATTGAAAAGTGGTGCAAGTGGAGAAACATGACTGTTCAGTCTTTAGACAGTACCTATCGCTTTGACAAAGCGAATGTGGTCAAGTTATCGAACTGCAAGGAAGGCACCACTTCGTTCCTCTGACACCATCGACTTGAATACATCAGACACGGAAGACTTGGTGTCTTTGTGAATAATAAAATTGGCTCACGAATTATGTTGATATCAGCTAACAAGCAAAAGCTTTGCGCTGGTTGTGCACTGTAAAACAAACACGTGTGCGCTTCCAGACGGCTTTGCTTGATTGCGCAAGCGAGCTACTAAAATTTGTGCGTAGTGATGTGCGCAACCAGATATAGACGCCAACGTCTAGCGGTAAGCGTTATTTTGCCATCTCTTTTGACGACAAGTCCCACTACTGCGCTGTCACCCATATGAAGAACAAGTTGATTTTCGCGGACAAGTTGGCGGAGCTCGTTACATTCACTGAGAAGCAGACTGGTAAGCATGTCAAGATACTGCGTAGTAATAATGTTGGCGATTTCTAGTCGGTCAAGATGATCAAATTCTGCGTGAATTACGAATCACTCTCAAGGTTTCGCATTATGTACCCCTCAGTTTAGCGAAATTGCTGAGAGCATGAATCGGACGCTTGTGGAATGCGCAAAGTGCATGATGGAATATGCTAGGATGTTCAAGGTATACTGGGGTGAGGCCGCGATAACTGCGGTATTTCTTTGCAATTGGTGTGTTATATGTGTACTTGGCTGCTGCAAGTCGCTGTACGACATCAACGAAACCTTTTTTGGTCTACTTCACAGTCTTTGGATATCACGCGTATGTGCACGTTCCATTGGAAAAAGCTCAAACTTGATACGAAAAGCGTTCCGTATCGATTTTAGGCTATTCGGAGCTTCACAAAATGTAAACAGACGTCCTCTGATGAGTCGCGGCGCACATTTCATGGACGATATCTTTGACAAGGGCCACGAACACGACCACAATGAAGTCAACAAGATTATCGAAATTTTTGGCGAAGAAAATCCTCGATCCAAGAAACATGAAAACTCTCGACCCAAGAAAGATGTGTCCCGCTATCGACGCTAAACTTTTTGAGATACGCCAAAGGGTCTGGTGCAACACACGTCATACGTCATGTATTTAAGTGGTAGAAATGCCGAAAATGTACAGGTCGGCGATTGAATCCTTTGACGAGTGTATGTGAAAGCAAGCATGCGACTCTGAGCTCGACTCACTGATAAAGAACGGGACGTTGAGTATTTTCTGCTTTAAAGGGTCGAAAAGCAATTGGTTGCCGTTGAGTCATTTGCGTGTAATATAACCTAGACGGCAGAATCAGCGTTACAAGGCAAGACTTGTGGCTCAAGGTCTCTCTCAGAAATACGATACTACAAGGAGACTTTTGCATCAGTGGCCAAGTTTACGTCAGATCGTATTGTGCTTAAATTAGCCGCTGAATATCATCTCAAGCTTTAACAACTGGATGTCAAGACAACATTTTGTAATGGTGTCCTTGATGAATACATTTACATGCAGTAGCCAGAAGACTTAGCTGACTCCAGTCGGCCTTACCATTTCTGCAAGCTCAAGCGCTCCTTCAACGGTCTCAAGCAGTCGTCAAGCATGTGGAGTTGACCGATAGACAAATTTTGATCAAGATGGACTTTACCAAGAGTAAGTCCGACTACTGCGTTTATAGCAAGCGCGATGATAATAGCATGATTCTTGTGGTGCTTTCAACTATCTCAAGTAGCAATGAGGCGTTGCTGATATCAACAAAGCGAGCGCATAGCAAACGATTCGACAAAACTGACTTTGAAACGATGTAAAACATCCCTGGTGATGGAAATTTAACGAAATTAGCGACAATGGAGCAAAGTCTGAGCTTAATTAATTTAAGCTAAGGCTGGCATGCAGAATTTCGAACCTGTGGAGACACCTCGATATCTAGGACCAAAGCTGATATTGAAATTGCGTGATTGTGGTTGCAAGCATGACACCACAATGAAGAGCATGCCGTACCGAAGTATCATGTACTTGATGGTAGTCACGTGCCCAGACCTCTCTGCAGCAAAAGGAGATTTGCATCATTTTGCGGCTGACCCATGTCCGGCACACTGGCAAGCTCTCGTGTGTACTGCGGTATTTAAAAGCAGCACCGACTGATGAACTTGTTATCTCGTGAAACGTTGTTACACCTATACAGGGGTTTTTGAATGCTGCTTGGACCGGATACACTGAATCTCGTTGAAGGCTAACTTTTTCATGAGCAACATATGCGTTAGCTAGCGGAGGAACAAGCAGCGTTAAAGACGCACTCTCAACTTCTGAAGCGGAATACATCGCGCTGTTGGGAGCAGCTCAGTAGGCAGTATGGTTCAGGGTGTCCTTGCAAAAGCTTGGAGAAACGGCTGACAACGAGCTTATCAAGATCCATGAGGACAATCAGTGGTCAATATCGTTGGCCACGAATCCCGAGTTTCACAAGCGCACCAAGCATTGCATTGGTATTCGGTAACACATTATGTGTGGATTGAAGATGACCAAGAGGTGTTGAAGTATTGCTCAACGCAAGACATGCTGGCTAACATCATGATCGAGCTAATTTTTGCTATGCAGTTTGTATCGCTTAATATCGACTTTTGTTTTAAGGTGCAGAAGCTGTCGCGCCGAGTGGGAGTGCTGCCAAGAAAGCGTCTCGACCATTAGATGGTAATTGGTAGGTACTGCTAAGAAAAATCATGATAATTGTACATCAAGAGAATGCGCATCCGAGAATGGTAAATCCGTGATAGTGTTTCAGTTGATTGCAAGATTAAAAGTCAGATGGGGCGGTAATTTGGCACGCTATTGCTGTAGAAGATTGTAGAAATTACGGTATGTATAAATTTGCAGACAATTTGTAGCTGAAAGACCTCAATATACTTTGCATTTTGCCATCCACTGTTCCAGTGCCTATAATGCATTTGAGTGTCTTGAGTGTCGTAATGCACGCAAATAGTCACTGCTCTTTCTTCGGCTTTGATGATACATATACGCTTGCTTATTCCAGACATTACTTGCTCGCCTGGATGTTGCAGGTTTGTTTCGCAAAATTTTTCTTTCACTCGATTTGTGAGTGGTTAGCGTAGCAGTATGCACTTGGCGTACGATTTGATGTTACTTTAGCAAGGCAAGTACATCTAGATTATCGGCGTTCTAAGAGCTGCCAAATCATCGGCGTTATAAGAGCAGACAAAATCGTTCGCCAGCAACTTGAACGAAACGTACAAAAATCAGACGAACCCATAGTGTCATTTGAGCATGACTTCACGATTGTAGAGTGCATGGATAGGATTTGAAGTCTCGAGATGTCTGCTTGTCGCGGTTGAGCATGACAATATTTGTATGTAGCGTTGTGCCCTGCTGAGTAAGAAAAACATTCCCTTCCAGTACACAGGGACGGAGCGACTAGGATACTTCTCTATTTTTTCATGCACGCGGACATTATATTGGTGGCTTCTGAGCATACCGAAAGATAGAAGAGCTTATGAAATTTCACAGTACCATAGTGGCAAACATTCCGCGAAGTCGACTAGTCTGTGGCAATTATTGATCACAAAGTACCAGGACTTGACAATCTCTTAATATGGAATCCAAACACAAATCCTTATTTTCTAAATACTTAAAGCGCATTTTTAAGTAATTCTAACTATTTGCTCTACCATTGTTCTAATAAAATATTTTGTTATTAGTGAAGAGTTGATAAATGGTCAGTTAAATTTATGGTTCAAATTAAAATGATGGATTGACATTGGCGATCGGGAAGGACACCTTAGCTGCTTTCCGTTGTAACTTCTGACAGAGACCTGACAAAGTGAATGCATTGCCGTTAACGCGATCCAGCAGGGTATCCACATTGAAGGATATTAGGATATGGCAAGACTATGAACAACGATTCTCGGAGTGACATGAAGAAATTTTAAAATGATTCCAGATACCTTTTTAGCGCACCCCAGCGCGTGAGCACCGTTTACGTTATTACCATCGCCTCAGAGCGAACTGTCCGTAATCAACACATAATGGCTGCTGTCCTCCTTCCAGCGGCGTCAGCTGACAACCCCACCAAATTCGTACCGACTCTTTCTGTATCCTATGGACGAATAATTGTCCATCACTCACAGGTGCTCTGTACCAAATTTTGATTCAAGTTTTACAAGACGATATGAAATGAAAGCCACTGAGAAGAATGGATCAATATTTTGTCAGTCTCTTTTCTGCTGACAAGTCCGGGTTCCTCGAATTCGAACAATGTTTTGAAACACTCAGAACAGGTTTTTATAGTCTTCTTGATTATCTCGTATAGTTGATATTGCCAGATGTCAAATCGACCTAGGTTCGCCAGCAGACGAATACTGCTCATACTTTGGGGGTCTTTGTTCTCGAACGGGATGACTGGTGCTAAATAAGTTATTACCAGTTACTCTAGATATTTTCCCACTAGAATGCGTTATGAAGATTGCTGCTGGACGAACCAACAAGTTCAAGATAGAGTTTACATACGTCAATGACAACGGTTGCCATGTTCCTCGAAGCGTGGAATGCTCTCCTGTCACAGCCTCGTTTCTGTCTGATGTGCAGTCGATCCCAATAGTGAAGGTAGCATGATAACTAGCTCATATTTTCTAAAGCATACCAGATCGTTGAAAAATGCATAGTTTTGCACAATTTGCTGATTCTATCATCTTAAGATGTGCAGACAGAACAAATTGAAGTAGGAGCATACGTCAGCCATGCGCTTCAAAAGCCTTGAATTATTCGAAACGTGACTGGGACCGCAATGCTCGTACAATCTTCACCACATTTCTAGCACCATAATCTTCGATGCTGCTCACTATCATTCATTAGATTCGTCTATCTTAGTCTATGGAGCTTACTGACGTCATATTAAAGCTATCAGGCTTGTAGGAAAAGCACTTGAGACAGCAAATAAAAGCATACGAACCCTTTACAAATACAGGTCAATATTTCTCTCCGAATTTCATCCCCACCGCAAGGGACCATGAACCACCAGACACATCTGCCAACCCATAACAAGGGAAGCGACGAGCTTGTTTCACGAATGTATATAAATATTAAATGGATGTGCTTAAGCACGTTTCGCTTACACTCTCAAAGCTATCAATAGGTAAGAGAGAATTGAAGGAAGCAATGAGAGACTGTATTATTCAAGAAGTTACATGCACCTCTTCGACTGTTGCCGTGGAGAGAAGTTGCATATACCAAGCGAAGTCGATGTTTCGACCAACTACTTAAGTTGACTTGTACTACCGGTCTTGATGGCATACTTTGCTCCCTCGCTCTTTCTTTTGATATCGTGTTTCATGCTCAGCTTTGATTCAGACATTCGATGCCCCGCCGCTTTCTTTGCCTCCTTGATACGATTCCAACCTTTGCGAGTGAGCTCGGATGTCTTGTGTTTCATTTTTTTGAAACCTTCTTCGATTTTGTGCCATAACTTGAGAAACCACATCTTAGCATCGAAGACCGCATTACGCACTGTTGGTTTGACGCCGTGTACCGCATGACTGACTCCCCTTTTAGCTTCGTATGTGGCATGACCGGCAACTGATTCAAATCCGGCCTGATTCTTTATCCCATGTGCTGTATCCTTTCCAAACCACTTGGTGTTGTAAGCAAGTTTATCAAATAAAGGCCAAAATCGTTCTTCCTTAACGTCGCTTCCTGCATGAGGCTGTAGAGATTTCGTTGCCTTCAGAGGTTCCTGTTGCGCAGTAGATGCTACAGCGCCCTTGGTGTCCTGTAACGATTGTGACGTGTCAGTATCCAGGGCTGTCGACTGCGAGATGCCCCAGGAGACCATGAAGACTGCAAGAAATTGCACAACAAATAAGCAGCGCATATCGAACGATGATTTAGTGGGTGATCAGTAAACGTTCAAATGCAAAGTAAGACCGTCCCATTGCAGGACAGAATTGCGCCCAGATTGGCGTTTGATGCTCAGATGCATATGGTGAATCGTGTAGGATGGGGTCTGGGAGAGATACCAATGCGATGGGATCAATATTCTCCTGAAAATTATTGGCTCTGTAACTATTGATTTTTGCGGAGAATAAATTTTATACAATTTAATACTTTCCAATCTTTACAAACTCAGTTTAAGGTAGATTTAGCTTCTGTTACCAAAATTCTCGTGACCTTGTCGTTGAAATTTATAGGCCAACTTCAAACGAGGCAACTGATTCCTGGTTCGTGATCACGCTCTTACTTTGTTTTAAAGTTCTACTCAAACAATCTGGTCCGATGCTCAGAGATGTAGCACATGGTTGTTGAGGGTCAGGGCATCCGTGGCGCCATAAAAATGCTTTAGGTACCTTTTTGTTTCAATATAGTGGAAAACGGTATAATTACATACTGATAATCGTATGGGAATTTTTCTTAGGTTTGCTCAATTAAAGTACCGCACAATATAATGCGATTTTGGAAGTTCAAAACTGACTTCATCTTTGTTTGATTCGATCAAAACGATCAGGCTTTAGCAATGCTTCGCCTGGATCGATGCTAGTAATTTATTGTTTCTTGTCTAACGCACTTGTCTAACGCACTCCTTGCTTGTACTTTTGGATTTCTGGCTTCAAGAATAGAAAATACTCACTGTACGTTGCCGTAGAGAAAGGGGTTCCTGCTAGGCAGACGAAAGAATAAAATCATGAAAGACACAGATGACACCTGACTCTCTAACTTAATCTGAGGATCGTTACATCGCAGCATATGACAAATAGCATCCAGATACGAGATATCCTGCTCACATGTGCTCAAAGACAACAATTTCTTTCGGCACTTATGTAGCTATTCCTATTGGCTATCAAATATTAAAATCCAGGGACTAAAGTTTATTACTTACTGCTAATATTCATGTTCGCTTCAATATGGGCTTAGTGATCATGCTTGGCGCCTATTACGGAGATGTACAGCAAAAGCTTAAAACATTAAAATAGTATACATAACGGTAATAGTTTTCTTTTAGTATCAGAGGATAGTTTAGAAAAGTTGTAAGCAACGCCCTGTCGTTGAAAAAAATCAAGTTTTCAATTTCTCTAAAGTGTATAAATCCATACACAGGAAGATGTACAACGTTCTTGTCGAAAAACTCACTTTAGATTATGGAACGTGAGTCGTTTTGTCGTACTTATAAAAAAAAGTATTGAACGTGGATTTGAAATTTCTGTGTCATTGGCCGCGACATAGGGCGCAAATGCGGTCTATAAGCTCAAAAACATTTCGAGATCTAACTAATAATCTCTATGTTTTAAATATTAACTTTAAGCTGCTATTCTACGGCCAGGAGAAACCTAACTCCAGTAATTTGCGATGATGTTACAATTTGAATCTCAACTTTCATTTAGTCAGATTTCGAGCCTCTGGATCTTATTATACAGCTCTTGCTTTTGCGTCATCGATGTTCAATGACGATCTTGTTAATTTGCTCTTCTAGATCGTCGGTGATGAATGCTTTACCCGCTTAACGAGGACTTATATCATTATTCTGACAAAGGTATAGAAGCAAAGTTTCAAACACTGGGTGGTACAAAAAAATTTAACCGTACATGCAGGTCATATTGGCTGATAACCTTGAGACTAAGATTTACGTTCATTTCGGGGTGGTGGTCAACGCTGGTGTGAATAGACGCCATGACAGTCGTGAAAGCCCGGACCTCTGTAAGAAGCGTGAAAGGACACATTTATGCCTTGTTGTGGTAGAATTGCTCCACCCACTACAATTGAGGATTCCTGTGTCTTTGCTTTTTGTCTATGTTTCGTCAATTTTTAGCATTTCGCGAGTCAAAGTCGCATTCATTGGATCGAGTGACTGAGTTTTGCGCGGTAATCGAAAAAATGTGCATGTATTTGTCGATTTTCGTCTGTACGTACCTCAGCATGTTATCGAGCTTTGTGAATCTCTTGATCAGGATTCATATATACTTAAGAACGAATCATGGGCCGCACTCGTAAGAATACGTCACCATAGTTTACAGTGCGTCGATTTTAGAGCACTATCGTACGTTCAACAACGTACTGCATCCGCTAGAAAAAAAGAAACAATAGCTAGCTAACAATTGCTAGAAAAAAAAACAATAGCTACACCATGCATTTTCAAGTTTAAAATTGTATGGAATAGAAAGATGAATGTACTAAAATGATCGAAACAACGTTGGTTGCTAATGGGAATCAATACACCAGTGCCATGGCTTTAAGCATGACCTGTCTTCATGAAATTCCAAGTTCGCTTAGATCCCCTATCGGCCATGTGTCCTGCCTTTTGAGCTTGCTCTGTCACTGAATGTCTCAATGACTCAAACTTTTCACCAACCCGATGCGATCCCTTTTGGAGGCCTTCGCTTACTGAGTGCTTGGCTTTCTGGGAATCCTCTGATATGGAATGACCCGCTCTCGTGAACCATGATTTAATCCTCCCCATTGTGTCATAGTACATTCTTCGACTGCCTCTCCTCATGCTCCTAAGATGTTGGCGGAAATGGTACCATTTTCTCGACGCTGGCGTTTCGACTAAAAACATTGCTTTAAAGAAATGTTTAATCCATTCATAGAATGATTTCAGATAGCTCTGAGCTTGACGAATGATTGGCCAGGCTCGTTCTTCCTCAACTTCGCCGGCTGTCGGAGATTGCAATTGCCTCGTGGTAACGATTGCGCTTTGAGGCGCGGTCAGCGCAGTGGACTTGTCATTGTTGTCATTGATATCATTTTTGGCTTCCTTCAAAGCTGTTGACGAGGCTGTGCCACTTAAGACCGCAAAGACTGCAACGATCAACAGTGGAAGAATGTAACGCATGTCGAACAACTTGAGGGTGTGTGGTTTGCAAACGACAAGAAGCGAAGTGAACCTGACTGACAGCAGCGGGATCATACTTCGCCCAGACTTTACCTTGATGCTAGAAACCATATGCTTATCTTACAGGATTTGATGAGGGAGAGTTGTCTGGATGGACAAATGTTTTCTTCTAAGCATTTCATTTCTTTTGAAAGTATGCACATCTACGTCTCCACTGTCCTGTCTCGAAAATGATCGGCTGTGCTCTTTACAAGTGAGAACATAGATTAACCGGCAAATCAAGATAAACGCTTACTTGTGGTAGAATTTCTCCACTCTTCCGTCGAATTCCTTACTATTGTCATATTAAATTAAGTTAGAAGCTGATCCGAAAAAAGTAAGAGCTTGAGAATCACCAGATGTAGCTTTATCGCAGCTGGCTCTCCAGACCAGTCTTGTACTCTGATCCAATGCACAGAAACGCATCTTATGGCTGGCGCGATGTACATAAACACGTACAAAGCTGCTTTAATATGTAGATGCATTGTCTGAACATTGAGTCAGAGTATTTATCCAGCCATGTCATCAAAATGACAAGGACTTCTAGCGATTAGAAACTAATATTTCAGTTTATATCTTTGAAAAAGACGACCAAAAATCTGGACCAAACCTCATCCTCAGCAAACGTGCTTTGATCTTTTACATAGCTAAGTCATACAAGATGCACCCATGAAGCCACAAATCCTATCCCACTTGCTTTTCTCGATGGCACTTGTACCAATCATAGGATTTCAGTCTCACAGCATCTATGCGCTTAAGTAGCTGAAGATCATAAGTTGCTTCTCCCATCCTGATTCATAAACGCATCGTGATATGAAGAAAAAAAATCCGGAAAAACGATATGTACGGTGATCCTCATATTGAAGTAATTGCTCAAAGTTGCTACTTTAAATGCTATACACAGCATTCGTGATAAACATGCGAGCAAAATGCTCTGTAGCTGGACGTTGGTAATGTGGCCTCAAATATTATATGATTGTCAGATGAAAACAGCGAGCTGATGCGCATCGGGTGGGACCAATTGCTTAGAAGTGTTACGATAAAGAAAGTAGTCTTTGTTTCAAAATGTGAAGGTAGAAATATGTTTCAACGAGCATACAAAGTGTAACAGATAAACTTGCAATTGTCGTTCGAATTTAAAGAACGAGACTGATTCAGAAGCAGTCCTGCACTCCAATAATGATATTCAAGTACGATGTGCGACGAAGTTACCGCGAACTTCGCACAGAAACACATTGACTCTCTGACTGAGGCCTTGGAAACTCAAAAGTATCAAAGTCTGGTATTGGGCTGCCGGCCTGACGCGTTAAGCTCTTTTAATAAGACATTGTACAACAGAAATGTTGAGCAATTGGTAGCCTGATATAACACTAAATATATATAGACGAACTCCTTTCTATGTGTGAAGAACACGGCAACTCTGATGCACCTGGCAGCACTTGGCGTCAATGTGACGACCCATTCATAATAGTTTATTAGTTTATCAATGATGAAAAACACATGTAGGGAGCCATATGCTCAAGACAGTGTGCCCACACAATGGTGTGACTCTACTTAAATATGAAATCAGTACGTGGCTGAAACATTTAATTAGGTTTTTACTATTTCATTATGAAAACCTATAGATTTAGATGTAGGCGACTTTGCCGCAAATAAAACCAAGAATTACAGTTTGTGTTTTAACGGAAGAGTTTATTTGCCTTGGGTTATGGCTGTAATTACTCTTGGAGTAAGTAGATTGCGATCCGATACACTCGTACTGATTCTGAGTAAAAACGAAGGTCACCAACCTTACCCAAGCTTCCTCTAAGCAAAAGAGCCACGGCAGCCCCGCTGCACCTGGCAGAACTTGTAGTCAATCTACACCTGAGTCATTCCAACTGACCCTCTGGGATGCTCTCTTATTTGGCCCAGGGCATGCAAGACGGGTTTAAAAAACTGATGTCACTGCTTGGCCCTGAGGGCGCGCAACAGCTCGCTTTACAAGGATCTGAAGCGAACAGCGCGCGCCTAGAGGCGTTCTCAAGCTATGAACATGCTCTGCTAGAGCATCTACAGCAGGAGGTATCGGCGCCGACTACGTCCATGACGCGACCGTCGGCAACGGATGACTCGAAGAGAGCAATAAGAAATTGGTGGACTTTGTCCAAGAGTTACATACTCTCATTGCCGGTATGGTGGCCGATCCTTATTTCGGGGCAGTCACAATGATCGTTATGATGGAGGGCTCCGCACTGGCGTGGCCAGAATGGGAGTCTTCTGTGTGCATCCATCTCTCTTTGCATTGAATGCCGAATTTAACTTTAAGTCGGCACGACTTGATTGGAATGCACACTCTAGCAACTCGTCGAGCGAGCCCGGGCCGATGGATATCAGCTATGCTGAGAAAGAGCTCCGAGCTGCCGGGCAGCGTCCGACATCGGGTGGTGTTTTGTCTGTGGAGCCACCCGTCACCTTCGCATTGGTTGTCCCCTTTTCAAGGCGCGTCAAGGTTCATCAAAGCGACTTCCCGCTCTTACCAGTCTTTGGGTTTATTGTGGGGATACGGGAACGCCCAGTAAGCTTTTATTTAGCCTCAAGGAGATAGAGGTAAACAGGGCGCCGCCGGAACGTGTATGCAAGCTGGGTATGAAAGCAACCGTGAAGGGCTTTGAGAATCCATGAAAGATTCTGATCGACTCCGGAGCGTCGGTCAATTAGCTCGACGCTCCGCTATCGAAGGAAGGCAGCTGTATGCTGGGGTGCTGAAGGTGCGGTTTGGAAACACCGTCACTATTCGCTAAGCGACGGGACTTATGTCACTGTGCCGAGGGTACCTGTGGACCTCGGTGTCATGTTTCTAAACTTCGATAGCGTGAAACGCTGTTTAGTCTTAGACTTGGATTCAAAGTATGATCTCATCCTTGGGATGGCATGGCTGGAAAACCATGAGACTTGGATCGACTGGGGGTCGAAGACATTGGGCGCTATGCGCTCGTCTCCTGGTGGAGCTTTGATGAGTCGTAAAATTACCCCTGCTAGGAGGTAAAAACGTTATTTGCGCGGGCACTGGACCAAGACGATCAATGTGCTGGAGATCGGAGTATCCGAGTTGGTGAACACGAAGGTGTATAGGTCAGGATCTTGAGTATGGCTCGCGCGCAGAACGTGAAGTGGTTCGTAACCCACTGAGTTCTGCTCAAGTATCGTAGCAGTCGCTGCATACCATGCGTGGCATGGTCGGCCAAGGTATGGACAAAGCCTTTCAGATGCGCGTGGAGTGGCATGTAATCCACTGGACGAAGACTGCGGGGCTAGCAGCTCTTCGTCGGATGCTGAATATACCATCAGGGCTTCGGTGGAGCAGGAAGTGGGGCTAACACTGGACGATGCAAAGTGCGTGTTTACACTTGTCTCGCCGAGACGTACAATGTAACGGGGTTACACGTACCCTGGTATGAATAAGTGGGTCGCATAAGATGGTGTGACCACACAAGGTTGTGCATTACACAAGACGGTGTAGTCACACAACGGTGTCATTACACCTTAACAAGAAATTAGTACGTGGTTGGACAGCCAATAATTTTGCAATTTTATAGATTTCACAATTTAATCAGAAACACCTAAATACTCAGATATAGGCGGATTTGCCGCAAGCAAAACCAAGAATTACAGTATACATTTTAAATGAATGAGTTTATTTACCTTGGGTTAAGGTTGTGGTCACTCTTGGAGTAAGCGGATTGCGATCCGATACACACTTACTAGTTCTAAGTATCTAACGAAGGTCATCAACCTTAGCTAGCTTCCTCTAAGCAAACGAGCTACAGCAGCCCCGCTGTATATAATCGCTATGAAGAGGCGACAGCAACGCCATATGCCAGATGTTAGACGCCACGCTTCGACTCTGATCCAAAATGAGTATACCGTAGACGATAGCTCACAGCTATACACCCTCGTCAATGGTATAACGGGGAAGGAAGACGGCGACGTCACCCTTGAGGCTAGTCCTGCGGTGGATGCTCTTCTGGAGCAGAACGAGATGTCCTTCGAGAGTTTGACGGTATTTTGAAAGTAGGCGACTTAGCCAAAGTGGTTATTATACAACCGGGAGGAGAGATCAACTCGTCGTCGCATCTGAATGAAGCTGTCCTGAAATACACCAAAAGGCTGCCGAGCGTACGAGGTGGATCTTTGATACTGAAATATCCCTCGGATCCGTACTATCCTCTGGTGAAGGTATCTCGAGACGTCGCCTCGACAGACGCACCGTCGATTCTACCTCCGGACCGAGGTGAGCGTCAGAAGATCGACCTGGTTCCGGAGATCAAGTAATGCGTATCACGCCAATACACTCTACCCAAGAAGCAATGTGACGTCATCCACGCCTTCTTCCGTGCGAAGTGCGATGCAGGAATGGTGTGTGAGATGAAGTATCCCCATTCGACACCCGCGTTTGGTGTCCAGAAGCCGAACGGTCAGTGGCGTATCGTTCACGCTTACAGTAAGCTCAACGCTGCCATCATTCCAGCACAGACGCCGTTTCCTATAAATGTTGTCCTCTAGAACAACATGGTGGATGTACACAAATCAGTGCACTTGACTTGGTCGATGGGTCCTACCAATTGCTCATGAGAGCGATTTATATTCCGCTAACAGCC